AAGAAAGATCTGCTTGATTGTAGAAGGAAGCTCAGAGGTCAGCTTGGCACTTGTTGGCATTTCCTCTTTAATATTGCATTAAACAACTCGGCAATTACTGAGCTTGAGGAAATTGAGAAAAATGATTTGTTGTTTTGCTGGACAAAATATGAATAGCTTTCATATGTGGTTTAGTTGAGACATAAATCAAGAATCATAAAAAGTTTTATTTAGACTATTTTTGGTATTGCCTTTTATTCTAGTATGCTCATTAGTAAGCCACATATATGGTACCCTGCCAAAAGGAAATCAAACCCAATACATAATCTATTAAGAAATACTAGAGTCCAGATTGACTGTAAGTGGAAAAGTACAGAAGACCCACAATGGGAAATTGTGGTTCGAATGTATATGACAAATGTTCTTTGTGTTAAAATTATCTGGTTGGTGAGAATCAGAAAAACGTGTGAAGGCTATAATACATTAAGATCTTTTACTTGGATTGGTCTAATTTTCAAAATATCTGGAAAACCATCACAATCAGTCTTAAAACAATAATTTTATTACTTAAAACAATAATATATTAAATTTTTGCATGCTAATTCATATTATATAGAAATGGGAACTGCATGAATGTAGTTAGGATTCATGCTCATTTTTAGTTGGAAATCATTATAATGGATGTCACTTTTCTAGATTTTGGGATTTCATTGTGCATGTATTTATGGAAATTGCGATGAAACATTTGTTGGACTTACAATGATCAAGATTATTAAAATATATTGTGAATGCCAGCTAGTAACTATGGACAATAAGGATGACAGATAATAAATTAAATTTTATGCTAATTTGTAGGTTTCATGGCAGTTCCTGAATGTGTCTTCCTTGGGTTATTTGTCCATTCCAATACCATGTTTCTGTGAGGCAAATCAAAAAAGGCAACCTTTGGGGGTCCCCAAGGAATACAATTAACTCTGAGAGATTTTTTAAAATTTAATCTCTCATAAAAATATGGTTTCCCAGAAAGACAGCATTATAGGCTAATTTTATTATCCCATTATAGAAAACAAGAGCAACAGCATGGAAGCGGAAATCCATAAAATGCAACAGAATTTTAAAGGAAGCAGATAGATTGAGGCCCGGTTGTCATTTTTAGGTCACCACTGACATCTCTGAATATAATTTTCATATGAACTGCATTGCAGGGCTTGGATGTGCTGCTTGAAGAAGCGACATTTTCACAGCGGGAGGCCAAATCAAAATGAAGCAGTCAGATGCAGGTGCAGAGTAATGGAAGAGGGCTATTTACCCTGAAGCAGAATCGCTGGGCTGGGAAAGCAGAAGCTCTCGCAGCAGAATGGCCGTGCTATTTCTCTCTGATATATATCTCAGTGCCAAACAGTATTCATAGGGGGCCCAAATAATTGTTCTTTCACTTGTATTTAATGAGATGCATTGCCCAATGCTGAACAACTGAGGCACTTCCTTTTGTTATGCTAACTAGGAGCTATTCAAGCCTGGCTTTCTTTGACTTCTGTTTAATCCTTCCTGCTTCTCCAGCCTCAAGCCAGGCAGAGAAATACTTGAAAAGATGGAGGTTTGCACTGTGCACATCTGTTGCCTAGATCAGATCTATTTTGCTAAATGAGGGTGAGGAGGAGAACATCAGGGGTTGTGTGCGCAGCATTTCAAATGCTACACATATTGTATAGTTCAGTGTAAAAGAATTATGTTATATGGTTGCACATTATTCCATATTATTTGGCATTAGGAAAGTAGAATATAAGCTAAATTTTGTCCCATATCTTGAAAATTCAGTTAAATTTGTGCCAGTAAAGAGTAGCTTAAAAGCCCTAGGTATATAGACAGAATTAATATGTCATCAACTTCCAGCTGTAAGATCTCTGAAGCTACAGTTAGTGCTTAGCTAGGACCTGTGAGATCCATAAACATAAGCCACCGTGAACCAGAGCATTTATAAATTTATGTTCTGTTTAGCATTTTCTAGATGAAGAAGCTAATTGTCACATAGTGCACCCTGGATCATTTCAAGTCTATTCTTCCATCATCCTTGGCATATACCTTTCATTTAACATTCATGAAATATAACCCCAGGACCCTGTGTTCTCCACTGTTCTGTTTCGACTACCCCTGAGTCTCCCATCCAGCTGGCGGAGAGGTACAGCATCATTTGGAAGTATCCAAAGCAGTAGATTTTCAAACTCAGAAATTGATATTTGGTCACTTCCAGCTGTTTATTTTGTGAGGTTTCTTATTTATTTATTTTTATTGCCACCCCCCCCCTAAAAAAATGGCAATTCTTGGTGTCAGGTTGTTTTTCAAGATGATATTGGGTCAAAACATGTGTCTCAAACCTAATACAATTGCCTGCCACTTTGAGGCAGCTGTTTTCCAATATGTCCTCATCATGCAAGCTTTGCTTGGTTCCAGCTTCAACAGATTGTTAGAGCTGTTCTCGATCTATCACCAGAGATGTTTTCCTCGAATTGTTAAGACCATGTCTATGCATAGAAATTCAAGAAACAATATAAAAGTTTTCATGCTATATGAGATGCAAGAAATTCCTACGTACATATTTACATAAGCAGTTTATAAAATTACTATATAGTTTGGGTACAGATTTTATATGTACTGGTTGTTTTCAGTGAAGAACTGAAAAGGAAAGGTTAGAATTTTTCATTCATTTGAAATAAAAACTGGATTATATTTTTTATGGAGTGGAATTACAAAAAAATCACTCATAATGTAACATTGTGGTATTAAACATAAAAGTGCTTGAGGGCAGTATCTTTTGCAGTGTCGTTAGAAATATTTCTCACTTTCAGGTAACAGTATTGTGTGGTCATTTTTTCTAATTGTTCACATTGTTCTAGAGTTAGTTTTTCGGCATTTTCTCGTTGTTCATCACTCTTTATCAAACCAGTTTGCTACAAAAAGTATTTGTTTTCACCAAATATTAAAAATTGATTTACAGATTTTAGGTTGGATCCAGTCATAGACATATTTAGTATAGATTTTCCATTGAAATCAATAAAATTTGTGTCAGTCTAAATATGGCCAAGTTTGACAATAATCACATAGATTTCTTTCATAGTTGATGAACAAAAGGATCTTTCACTCAGGGTCCTTCTGTAAGCATGGTGGCTCAATTGTGTAAAACCTCATTTGTGAAGAATTGTGGTAGTGCATGCAAGAGTTATACAGGATTATGCCTCCCAGAAAGCCACACTCACTGCAATAAGATAATGTAACTGATAATTGTCTTGAGGTTCAGGCATGGTGTCTATTTACATTAAACATGGAGTTTATTTTCTAGTGTTGACAATCCATGATGATTAATGCCTTATGTTATATTCATATATTAATCAACCTCATAAATTGAGGGTAGAAGTTTGGGGCTCAGTTCCATTCTACGGAGAGGAGAAAACACCACCACTGTCTCGGGAAGCCAGCTACCCCTGGCTGCTGTCAGAAGTGACACCATGGTGGAGAATAAGGGTTCCCAGGATAGATTAAGCTCCTGCATTTTGCCATTATTTTCAGAGAAGGAGATAGTTCTTTTCTATATAAGAGTTAAGGTAGAGTACCCACACTGACACCAATTTGTGGGTTGGATTTTTAGACTAAAATTTCTAGATTTATACATGGATATATAAATGTATAAATTTCTAGATTTATACATGGATATGGGAGCCCCCGGGGGCGCAGTAGGTTAAACCGCTGAGCTGCTGAGCTTGTTGACTGAAAGGTTGAAGGTTCGAATCCGGGGAGCGGTGTGAATTTCTGCTGTCAGCCCCAGCTTCTACCAACCTAGTAGTTTGAAAACATGCAAATGTGAGTAGAAAGAAAACATAGTAGTTAGAAAACATGCAAATGTCAATAGGTATTGCAGTCAGGTCGGCCACATGACCTTAGAGGTGTCTACGGACAACTCCGGTTCTTCGGTTTAGAAATGGAGATGAGCACTAACCCCCAGAGTCGGACACAACTGGACTTTATGTCAGGGGACAACCTTAACCTACATGGATATATACAGTCTTTTGTTTAACATCTTTATATTTTTAGTTTTAAAAGTTTAATATGTTTGTGGTGTCTTTGCTGTTATTGTCCAATCGAGGAACAGTAAAATATTTTTGATTAATGGTATATTTGTGCAACCTGATAGCCGTACTTGTCAAAGGAAGCCAGGAAACATAAATAATCTAGAGCTGGTCATTGACCGTAATAAAGTGAACTGATAATCTAGAAATATCCATTTTGTCACATAGATTCTGGTTATCTGGATCTCCTCTAAGAAAGAGTAGGGCTACTATATCTGTCCAAAAGGCTGGTCTTCTGGGATTGTAATGTTCTGTAATAGGAGAAAATAGACACGGGTTTGTACTGCTTTTTCTCTTCAGAGTGTGCCACAAAGAGGCCTGCAACAAGGAGAGTATACCCAAGATTGGCTATAGCACAGTGTGACTGTGCTATACCATTATTTTGCTCTTTCTGTTGAAATATTCACTGTGATACATACTCATCTTCTCTTTGTCTCAATTCTTTTTTTTTATCTGACATAACAATACACGAGACTTTGGAGATATATTTATGAGATTCTGAATATCAATAGAAACTGCTTCACAGCCCTTTCCATGAACTGGTGTACAATCCATGACAGGCACTGTTTCCACTAATTACAATAGTACAGTAATTTCACAAATGGAAGCCCAGGTAATGGAGAAGAAAAAAACCACTATTGTTTGTCCTTTTTTTTTTGCTATTATAACATTGTCTATGTCCCCTTGGTTTCTGCTGCAGTGGTAAACATCTATGATGTAGTGATGCAGATCACTTTGAAATTCAAACTAAATTCAAACTCTGCTTATGTCTAATAATCAAAAGTCTGTTATCTCTTTTTTCCCAAAGATAAATTATCCCATGGAATGGTTTGTCAACATCTCAGATGGGAACTTACTTTACTTATAAATTGATTTCTTTCTACCTTTTTTATTTCATAGATTGGAGAGAGGCAGAAAGTTCTTGTGACAGAAGAGTCATTTGATTCCAAGTTTTATGTTGCTCATAATCGATTCTATGAACAGGTACTGTACAAACAATACATATTTGATCTCTCTCTCTCTCTCTAAGACATACAGACACAAACTCCTTTTCATTCTTACTGAAATAATGATATAATTGTATAATTATATCATTATCAAGCAAACTGCCTCAAAGTTGATGCCCTCCAGATGTGTTGAACTACTGATCCAATCAAGACTGGCTGATAAGATTTTCAGTCCAGTGTATATGAAGAGCTCCATCATGGAGAATCCTGAAATGAAGCTTTCTACTTACATTTCTTTTGAAGTACTTACAGTACTTTCTTCAAAACGATGATATCCATCATGTGAAGGTGTCCTTGTCCATGATTAATACTTACTTAGATGGTACCATCCCTCACTTTTTAATGCAGAGACTGACAGACCTAGAATAAACTTCATTAGGCAGAAATGCTTTGCAGTTGATTTTCAACTTTATGCATATGTGATTGTAGAAATAATTCGATATCTGAATAATATAAAATATATAGTGAACTATAAATCCTATTGATTAAATATCTGAAAACTAAGAAACCATTTAGAACAAAAAATATTATAGATAGCCTCACACATAAAATTGCATAAAATACAATTCAAAACATTTGACTTAAAGAACTAGGAGAGCTAAAAGTAAATATGATGCTGCAGATGAAACAGAAAAAGATGTTACCAAAATTTATGTTAATATAATATATGAATAATGTAAATATGACTATTTTTAAATTACTTAGAAATGTAGAATCCAAGGATCTTTTAATTTTTCAGCTTAAACAAAGTCTCGTTTGTTTGTTTTTTAAGGTTCTGGTGCCAAAGAACCCTGAATTTATGGGTAAAATGGTAGAAGTGGATATTTTTGAAGCAGGGAAGCACTTTATGAAGGGACATCCAGTGTCAGATGCCAAAGTGTTCACCCCTTCGATCTCTAGGCCGTTTGCCAAGGGAGAGGTCTCTGGTTTGACAGAGGTAGGTCAGAGTTATTGTTATTGTTGTTACTTTAATCAAAGAAGAACTATGCAAGCACTGTGGCTAACATTTGTATCAGTTAATACAATACAACACCCTTACCCACGGTTTCAATATCGATGGTTTAACTTACCCAGTATGATTCTACAGTATGCTTCAAAATACAGGCTTTGCTATTATCCACAGTTTGGGGGGGGGGGGGTTGCAATACTGTGGGTTGTATTTTATTTATAGTTCTCTGTTTCATATTTATATTTTAAGGGCTGCATTATAAAAAAATAAACAAAAATTTAATTTGAACTAGGGTTTAGCTCACATATCATTCTTTTCAGAAGCAGTAGTAATACATAAGATGAAAAACATTGGAAAAGATAAAGACAAGCACCCACAGTTTTAACCAAATATGATTTCCAGTTTGAAGCCACTGCCAAAGCTACACCATTAGCAGCCAATATGGGCTAAATCCAAGATTTAGTGTTAGCTAGAGTAGGATTGCTTAATGAATGGGATTTGTTGAGTCAACACTCGTAAAAATCTCACTAATCAGTAGGTAGACTCTGACTCAGACTAAATTAGATATAACCATATAGATATATATTTGAAACTGTACATATGGTATAAACTCAGTCTAGTCCTTTGGTAATCATAGCACATGACAACTTCAACTAGCAATTATATGTTGGGAACCAGTTGAGAGAAATGGTTCAATGCCTTTTCAAAATCACTTCTTTGCTGAAGGTTTTAAACCATTCACATAAAGATGAATTAATTAAATAATGATTTATTTTTTTTACACCAAAGGTGCAGTGGCACAGCGGGTTAAACCCCTAAGCTGCAGAACTTGCTGACAGGAAGGTCAGCAGTTTGAATCCACAGATGGGGTGAGCTTCCGTTCTTAACCCCAGCTTCTGCCAACCTAGTAATTCGAAAACATGCAAATCATAGAATCAAATGTACGTAGATCAATAGATACTGCTTCTGCAGGAAGGTAACAGACTTGGACCTCTCTTTTAAATATTCTATTATCAACCTACCAGTAAACCTAATTAAAATAATAAATAAAATAAAAACCTGATGATGCAGGCTTATCTGTCTTCCACTTTCACTGATCAGTCTGTAGTGAGAGATTCTGCCAGCAGCTACTGTTTCCTTTCCCTGTTTAGGTAGGTGCACACAACTACAATACTACCAGTACAACAGACTCTCATAGTCCCACAGCTCAAACTTTTTATATTGATTTGGGGGACATGCTCCAAACACAATGTGGCAACCTGATGCCCTTCTGCACCATCATCTCAGTGCTGAAGTTGCTAAAAATGTCCAACCTGCTTCTGTCTTGCTGGAAAAACACGGTTAAAACACCCCCAACAGATGACCATCCAACCTTTGTAATAATAATAATAGTAATAATAATAATAATAATAATAATAATAATAATAATAATAATAACAACAACCACCACAGGAGCCACCCAGTCTGACCTGTTTCTGCCAAACATGGAAAACACAAATTGGTGGTTGTGAGGTGCCGCAGGCCACACCAGCAGCAGCTAGGCTTCACAAGTCATGTGCTTCCTAGGCAGGGCAGAGTGCGAAGGTGGGGGGGACAGCAGGACCCCTGACTATGCTTCACAGAGCCCTAAGTTTAAGAACCACTGGCATAGATAAATAGTTGTTTTGCACATTATTGCAAGAAATAGCAGAAGTTAATAGATTGCTTTCTTCCATCGATCCTGCCTGTGCAAATTAATGCAAATTATCTTTTTCAGATGCAGCTAAGTCATGTATGTGACATATTTCATTGTTCAAGAAACAATATTTTTGCCAAAAGAGTGATTGCTGTTTATACTTAGATATTTTAACTATTTAAATGTGTATTAATTTTAATTTTAAGTTAAATGTTTATTTTAATTGTATGTTGTTTTTAAGGCATTGGTTAGTTGTCTATGTGTAAAGCCGACTTGAGTCCCCTTTGGGATTGAGAAGGGTGGGGTATAAGTATGGTAAATAAATAAATAAATAAATTCAGTACAATTCTGTATACATTCAACTCTGGATTATTTATTAATTTATCTACCATATTTCCATGAGAAATTATTTTTTTTTAACTAAAAGGATTATCTAGGTGTCTTTGATACCATTATGACATGAAACTGTAGGATAAGTTCTGCTGAGCATGGCTGCTGGAACTGTCTTATGCCCATCATCCCCAATGACTCCGTCTTGTCATCTTGTCGTAATGAACTTTGTCATCAGCATCTCCTTTTCTCTCACTGACAATTATGCCCCTTGCTTGAACAGCACAAAGAGGTTAATGCTGTTAGATGATGAAAGCCTCTTAGTTGGTGTTTCATTGAAGTCAGAACAAGCACTGAATTGTCTTCCTGTTTGAGATATAATTTCTTGGTTAAGGGGTAAGCCCACTTGGGATTTTAAATGTGATTGAAATCCACATAGTTCAACCCATTGGGACAGAAAGTAGAGGATAGCGTTCGGCTTCTCGTAACACGTGGAGCAGAATTGTAAGTTTCCTTTTAAAAAATCATTGGCTAAGTCATACATTTTAGCTGGAATTTCAAAAAGTAATTTTCTCCCCCATTTCTCAAAAGTACTGTATTTTCTGGCATATAAGACTACTTTTTAACCCAGGAAAATCTTCTTAAAAGTCGGGGGTCATCTTACATACCAGGTGTCATCTTATAGGATAGGTGCTGAAACTTCTGAATCAGACTGGAGAATCTGCAGTCACCACATATGGTGGGGGGAGCTCAAAAACAGCCGTGACCGCATCCCCGCCATATGCAGCGACCGTATGAAAGTAGCAATGGTGGCACTGTTCAAGTACAGTAGAAGAAAATCCAGTTACCTGTATTCGTAGAAAGAAGTGACTTTACGCGGACCTGATGATAAGGTGAGGGGGCACCTCACCGGGAAGGTTACATCTATTCAGGATGTAACAAGGGCAGAGCAAGCTGCAGGTATCCAGGACACCCAGTGTATGGAAAAAAGAGATAGAGTGGGGCTGTGCCCAGAAAAACATGCCTCTTTCACCCGTCTGACCCACCCTTGTATTGTACCTCCTTCTCTACCTCTCAGATCTCACTCCAGAGGACTGTAGTGAAACAGCATGCATGTGTGAGATCTGACAGGCAGAGATGGAGGTATGGCAATAGGAAAATTGCCATATTGAAATCAAATCTGATGTGTTTTTTTATTTTTATTTGGTGTGCGTTAGAAGAGGGGCAGTTTTATACGGCGAATACATCCCAAACTCTATATTTTAACTGGAAAAGTTGGAGGTTGTCTTATACACCCAGTCATCTTATATATACAGTAATGAGAATAGTTGTACTGGTGTGTGAACAGCACAATGTGCATGTTATGAAACATTCATTTTCTCTGACTGCAGTATATAACTATTTAAAAGTAATTCTACATTTAAGAAAAGAGAAATCGTATGAAAATATATACTGCCCACAATCTTGTAGCTGGGGGAATCAGCAAATTATGGATATATTAGTTAGAAGAGGAATGATGAGCAGAAATAATGATTAAAACTTTTATGAAAAACTGAGTTGTTAATATTACTAGAGTACCTGGTTCAGAAGCTGTCTTGGTTATAACTGGGTTTTTTATCTTCAGGATATAGGTCAAAAATGGGAATAAGTAATTTAAAACAGTGCTTTAGCATTCTTTACTAAGAATTTGCTCATCAAGGAATTACGTACATAAGCCTTGGACACTTTCTACAGATCAAACAAAGTCTAATTTTCTTTAGACCTTTAAAGTTCAGAATAAGATCCGATCTGGAAAAGCAATAAATTGTGTGCTGGTTGTTTGAAGTGATAAATAGCATGAAGACTGCTCCTCATGGCAAGTCACTGGAAGCACTCATTAAGTAAACCACTGTGTCTATCATACAAATTTCATCAAACTTTTGCTAGGTAAAAATAGTTCTGCATTGCTATGGTGCAACTAGCAGATCTGAATGACTTGCTGAACAGAGACGTTCATGCTGTAGAGATGCATCTACCTGGTTTGAATTTCATGTGGTCACTTAGTGGTTGCCTAGTCGTATGAATTGGGCCCTGGCCAATCTGCAAATTGGAGCAAGGGCATGTTATTTCAGAATGTGTGCTGTAGTTACTGATTCATGTGGTCTCATGTGCTTAAACTGTTAGAAGAGAGGTTTGGTGTTTCTTAACGTATACTGTCAGCAGTATCTTAAACTGATCTACGGGGCTGTAGCTGCGAGGAAGGGCAAAATGAGAGGATTGCTCTCCACAAAAATCTTTTTCTCCCAATGAAATACTCCTTCGCTGATCAAATTTCTATCATTGTAGTAATTTAAAGCTTCAGTTGAGCATTTTAGAAATACAGTTCAGGTGTTGAAATAAAAAGCACAGGCTAAATTGGCAAGGCAAAGGCAGAAATGTAGGAGTTCTAGGTGTAAATAATTTTCAGAATATCACTTTCTGCAATGCTAGAAATTTGTGGACTGAAGGAAAGTTTCATGGAGAGCAGAATTCATATCTGTGGAGGACAATACTGTCATCCCCTCCACTACACCACTTCTTCAGTGTTTCAAATCTTATTTATACCTGAGAGAGGGAGGACTGTTAAACACATTTTGAAGACAGAGGCCTAAATCTAGATTAGGACAGGTATTGGTCCTGCCCCCAAACCTGCCCTAAGAGGTTATTCAGAGAATTTGGGTGGGGGAATAATGGAGGCCTGCAGTATTTATTTATTATTTACTATATTTATATCCCCCCCCCCTTCTCACCCCGAAGGAGACTCAGAGCGGGCTCACAAATAGGCAGCATTTCTATGCCATAAACATACATATAATAAAATACACAGTTAGATTTAAAAAAGAAACATTAAACAAGTCAATTTAAAACAATAATTAAAATTACAACCACCAAAATCATGATCCCGGGCCGTTCCATTTGTCATTTCACTATTCCTTATTCTCTTATTGCACTAGGACTTGTTATC